GGTGGAGGGGTGAGGGTAGGGAAGGTTGAGAAGAAGTTTTGGAAAATATTTTCCCTTCTCTTTATAAGGAAAACATTTTCCTCCATTTGGAGGAAAATGAGTTCATAAGGAAAATGTTTTCCAAAATATTTAAGCCAACCAAACATGGGAAAATTGGAAAACATTTTCCGGAAAATGTTTTCCTTCATACCCAACACACCCTATATAGTGAAATCTAAAGCTAACAGTGGAACCTAAAGATCATGGCGCGATTAATCAACTCGACTACTCTTCAAAATTTTCAAAAGCGTGCATTTCATGCAAAATTATTTCTAAGCTATAGAGGTTAGAAAACTCATACATGCTTGGAGGAACTAAAGTAGCAGAAATGTCATGTAGAGGAGTTTCAAACCTTAGTACTTTCTTTTAAACCTCAAAAAAGCAAAGATTTTTGTTACTTAATTTATCTATACTGCTCAAGGCTATTTTGTTACAACGCATTATTCTTTCTGAATGTTGTCCAAGTTCTATTCATCCATCTTAATATTCCACACATTTCGAACTACTTGAAAGTTGGAACATGGCTCCACATAAATATTTTGCCTCACAACAAGTCTGGTGAATTGCCCAAAAGGAACTTCAAGAACTGAAATATGGAGTTTAAATGATTAATTACTTGATCCTGCCACATGATTGAGAAAATTTTGGGATTATAAATATATGCAACCTAATGGCTGCAGGATTTATGTTTAGATGGTTATCTAGTAAATAGCATACCTCATATAGTCATCAACATCAGCATCTGAATACTTTGAATCAATGTCTGCACCAAATCTTGAGCTTCAATGACTTTCTCCAGCAATGCAGCCAGATGCTGGGGGAGTAAGAGCAGCACTGCATACCAGACATTTCAACTCCCAACATAGTTTTCTTCACAAAGCTTTGTTACTTATACATAAGTGCAGCATAATTTTTTGCATGCTCTGCAATATAACAGATGACTGCACAGAACACGTCATCTTCAGTAGAATGGAGAGCAACAGACATCCTGTACAAAGTAACTTAAACAGGAGGGTGAGACACCACAGCGAATGAATCAAATTAATTGATAAGGGCATGCAAAGCCAGGAATTTTAACAACTGAAGGAATTCATCATTTATGCTAGGGTGCTTACAAAGAATGACACCCACCATGACCACTCTAAAAGAAGGGACAAAGAAAAAGAAAAAGCATAGAATTTTGTCGCAAGCATATAATTGCTCCATCAAGCAGGAATACATATCCTTTTTTATCCTTCTGATAGTTTAGATAAAAAATAAACCATGTAAAGCTCAACTCTTTTTTTCTTTTTTGACAAAGGTAAAGCTCAACTCATTTTTGGAAATCGTTTATCAGATTCTGATTTACAGATCAAAAGAGGGTGTTTAGAATGATGATAAAAACTAAGATAGACAAGAAAAATCAACAAAACAATTTGACAGATAAAAGAACAACTTATACCAACACGTGGGACTCTCATTCTGCAACCACTGCTTCCTGCTCCTATTTGAAGGTTTGTCATTGGGTCAACAATAGCAATTTCCAACTTGACTGACCAATTTAAATGCAAAGAGAAACCAGGTTACAGTTGACAGTGCAGATTAAGATTTAGAAAAATTAAAAAGAACAAACCCAAAATGTACCTTATCTCCATAAGAGTTTGTGCCAACTTTGTCCTAACATCTGCCTCCATTTGGCTATTGAACAAGTTCATTTGCTCAACTGGCCCATGTCAATGCATGTGATCTTCCAACCACTGTATCTTGATTAATTTTGGAGTTCAAGTATGCTAATAGAATAAGTAACACTGCAATCTTTCTAAAGGAATCTCAGTTTTGTAATTTTCCATCTATTTCACGCATAAGCAACACGGAATTATCAAGCACACGCCTGCTTTCATAGATGATAGACCGGAACAATTCATGCTGAGGTTCTGGCTTATAGGAGCCTAGTTCGACAACGGGATTTTTGATCTGTGATCTCTCGTACAACTCCTTTGCTGGCTGAACGTGCTTCCACCAGAAGTCAGAAAGTGCAATCTTCAAGAGCTTCCAATATTCTTCGTCACGATGCAACCTAAACAAACTGCTTCCTTTGGTAGTCCAAACATAAAAGTCCATCCAATCTCGATCCAATATTTCCATTAAACCCTGTGCTTGTGGAACATAAAAGATCGGAATTCTTTTCCAAGGAGTTGCAGCACTCATATCGCCTTTGAAGAAAGGGCATTTGATCTCCAAAACCCCTCTCGATGGCAAATGATAAACAAACTTGTCAACCACGCCATCAGGGGAAGCTGCAAGCCAGTCATCCTCTCTCTTCATTTCCCGATATACCTGAAAATCAGTAAAAGAGACAGGATTTCCAGTTATCAGCTTATACCTCTCAAGAGCCTCCTCTTCTTTGATGTTACTCCAACACGTAGCTAAATTACCCGAGAAGGGTTCAATCGCCCCGATTTTCTCCAACCAGAGTTGGGGTCTGCGCTTAGGAAAAAAACCAACAGCTTGACTAAAAGTGCTAGCTGTAAGTTTATTCTTTCTCAATTCTTGCCAATTCTTGAACGAATGCTGAAGACCACAGGATCGAAGAATTGGATGAGCGTCGGGTGAGGAAAATCTCGAAGAAAGTCCAGCACTACTGCTGTTGTACCATCTTCTATACCTAGGAATTTGAGAAAGAAAAACTGCTATCTTCTTGGTTTTGCTATAGCAATTCTCATTTGATGAACATCCAAAACTGAAAGTGGCATAACGCATGACCTTCACTGCAGAATAAGAAAATGCTCAACTTTTCAGTTATTCAGCATATCACCAAACTTAAATGCGGGAAAGAGAAACTTATGAATTATTTCCACTGATTCTCTAAATAAAGGGTTTTTTAAAAATAAAAAAAGGGTTCTCTATTCGAAGGGCAGGCAAGTTTTTCCGGGTTCTATGCAGAAAATGAGCTTCAACAACTATAGGTAATTTTCATATTTTCCACTTCAGACAAAACCCACAAGGAAAATTTACAGACACTGTCCAAGAGACACCCTCTATATCAAGAAATAAATAAACAAGTATAGGAAATGAATAAAACTCCAGGGGAAAAAATGGAAGATATAATAAACAGTCGAGCTCATGGACTCACCTTTGCCAGGCCCAACACAGCAGAAAGCTGCTAACAATATTAAGCACAGCGGAAGTGGCTGAGAGTTGTATCAAGAAAGTGGGAGGAGAATTAAGAAGGGTTTAAGGACCAATCAAAAAAGTAAGAAGAGTTTATTTAAGAAGAGTAAGGTGTTTGGTCTGAAGGTAAGGAAGAGGGCTAGGGAAGGGTTTAAGAGATTTCTTTTTTCTTTTGTTTAGTATACGTGGATAATACTTTGAGAAATGCCAAAAAATGGTCCCTCAATGTTTGAAGTTGGTCAAAAATTGTTCTTTAAAATATTCCTTGCAGCAATTTTAGTCTTTTTAAGGGTAATTAAAGAATTTTTGTTTTATCTCCATCAAATATTAAACGAAGTATGGTTGTTAGATTTATTGAAACTTTATCTCGATTATTTTAGTGCAGATTATTTAGTATTTTGAATTACTTATAACTTTTTTTTATGAAATAAAAAAGTAATAAATAAAAGAAAAAATAATAAGGAAGAGTAAGGTTTTTTCAGGGAATAATTGGCTTGCATAATATGGACTCCAAATATTCATGATCTAGAACATGACTTAGCCCTCGGTCTATTAGCGAACCATCTCTACCGGAATTGTGAAAGATGTCCTTGGGTCGTTTCAATCAGGGGTTGGATGTTCTTACATATAACGAGTTAGATAACCTGTAACAAATTCTTTATCTATTTTTAGAAAATTAAAAGACAAGAGTGTATGGGGTAAAATTGATAGCGACAGGTGGATTAATGACGAGATGACATGTGGAACTGGACACAGGTAAGAGATGAGTCAGCGAATAGTTGGCACCGGATACAAATATGTGATTGGTGCTGAATAAATTCCAAAGGCGTAGGAACCGAGAATGAAGATTTGAAAGGAATACATCAGCCGGAAAAGACAGCATTCAATGAGCAACTCTTACAAAGAATTTCTATGTTAATGATCAGCTGTTATGCAGGTATCATGAGGGGTTTTATTCTCATTAAAGAAGAGCTTGATTTGGGGATCTTGTCTCCCTTAATAGAGCTATAAATAGGAATATTTGTATCCATAGTTGGACACGAAAAATTATTTGTACTCATAAGGCTTTAATTCGCTTTTACCATATAAAATTACTCTCTTTCTTTTTGTTCTTAACATTGCTCTTAATACTGCTTTCGGAGAAGCTACGTCTATAGCTAGGCTTATATTTTCTTCAAGTTATTTTAATAATCTTATTTATGTTCTTTTTATTTTTATATTCTTGGATCAAACTAATTTACGTGTCTATAAACCATGTTACAAATTCAACTGTACCGTTTTACGGGCAAATAGTTTGGCGCCCATCGTGGGGCCAAATTGTATAATTACTTTGATCTATTTATCTGTTACTAACGCATTTTGATTCTTTTTGCTATTAAAAGAAAAATTAGGTATGGCAGCTAATGACGTGAACAACTCTTACAATGATGGAACAAACAACGACGATGTGTTCCAGCGTGATGTTTCAACAAGCGAAACTCACAATGCAGGGAATGAAACAACTCCGATACATGGAGAACAGACCCTCAGCAAGTGAGAAGCCCAACTCCTGACGATATGGACGATGAACAAGTGGTTGAGACAGTTAAAATTTTAAGGGAACAACAAAGGGAAATTCTGAATCACCTCTTAAGATAAGAACGGGTGATGACGGAATTGAAACAGGCGCTTTCGATTGCTTCCAATAACTCCAATGGAGTAGTTCGGACTCCTCCAAGCATCCCCGCAATTCAAACAGTTCAAAGGACCGGTAACGATGTTCTGAGGGAGGAGTTTGATTTTAATGAGGCAGGTGGTGCAGGTAGTGGATTCCAGAACGACATCAATGTTAATTATCCTTTCAAAATCGAGCTCATAAAATTCACGAGGGAAATGAATGAATGAATGAATGAAAGGATCAAAATGCTAAGAAATTTCATGCTCAGATGGATCAGATCCCGATGGCACCACCAATGTTAAAGGGACCAGATTCAAAGAAGTATACACAATTGTCGTTCAAACCAAGTGCGGACTCGAAATTAATTCCGAAAATGTTTAAGATGCCTGACATACAGAAGTATGATGGGACTTCGAAACCATTAGAGCATATCACAACTTATACTTCAGCAGTAAAGGGAAATGACTTGGCCCCGCACAAGATCGAATCAGTTTTGTTGAAAAAATTTGGCGAAACCCTAATGAAGGGTGCTTTAACTTGGTAATCTCTTTTACCTAAGAATTTAATTGATTCTTTTGCAATACTTGCAAATATTTTCATTAAAGCTCATGCAGGGGCAAGAAAGGTCCAACCTAGAAAGGCAGATGTATTCCGAATCGCCCAAGGAGAACCAAACTATTGTGAGAATTCATGATCCGATTTCAGAAGAAAAGGATGTTGTTGCCGGCGGTATCGGACGAGTGGGCAGCTGAAGCGTTTACCAAGGGTCTCAATCTATTGAGCTCCGATGCCTCTAGGAAGTTGAAGGAAAGCTTGTTAGAATTTCAAGCAACCACATGGGCAGATGTTCACAATCGTTATGAATCAAATATTAGAATAGAAGATGATCAACTAAGTTCATTGGTGTCTTCCAAAGGACATAATCATGTTCGGAATCAGGAGAAGATCAAAACTAATTTTGATGCAGATCGGAGACCTTCCAGGAGCCATTTTCAGCCTTACGAAAGAGTTGATGGGTGTGGGAGTAAAGGATTTCAGTCACCGGACATGTTTATTTTCGATAGAAGCACTGATCGTGGTCGGAATAGCAGAACTTTACATGAGAATGAATCATCGGGATCCCATCATTCAGCATACCCCCGGTTATCCAACTACAACTTCAATATCAGTTTAGTTGAGCTGATTTCGATTATGAGAAATATTAAGGAGGCAAGATTTCTGAAACCAATTCGATCGGATCCTAGTCAAAGCGATCCTAATATATGGTGTGAATTCCGTGGAACACATGGACATAGAACTGGGGACTGCCGGCACCTTCGTGAAGAGGTTGCAGCGCTACTGAAGAATGGTCACCTTAGAGAATTTCTAAGTGATTGGGCCAAGAATAATGATGAAAAAAATTGAGATGTTGTGGAACCATCAAGACCCGCTGCAGGTTCACCTTGCTTGACGATAAACATGATCTTTAGCGGTGACAAAGTAAATGGTTTAACATTTTCAGCAGCAAAGAAGACAAAGATATCGATAGCTCATGACAAAAGAATCCGGAAAAGCTTCAGAAGATGATGAAATCACCTTCACGGAAAAGGATGCTGATGGCCTTCTTTTACCACAATGATACTCTAGTAATATCGGTTAGTGTTTTTAGATTTTAAAATTAAACATGTGTTGGTTGATTCAGGTAGTTCAATCAACATCATTCAATAAAGAGTTTTGGAACAAGTAAAGTTAGCCGAAAACATAGTTCCGGCAACACAGCTTCTGGTCGGGTTCAACCTAACAAGTGTAACGACCTAGGAGAGATTTTATTACCCACGCATGCCGAAGGCATAACGAAGACCATTTTGTTCAAAGTGATAGATAGCGACATGGGATACAACGTAATCCTTAGAAGGTCATGGATACATGAAATTAAGGTTGTACTGTCAACTTATCATCAACTGCTAAAATTTCCCATGCCAGAAAGGGGTCAAACAAATTAGAGAAGATCAACCAGCTGCAAGAGAAATGAATGCAATTATCTTGTCCAGTAGCAAGGGGAAAGAAACAAGAAAATATCAATTAGAGGAGTCGGTGCCCTCTTCCATCTCGATTGAAGATAATGGAGAAATGAGTCATTGATTTCTATCAGGTCCCGAGGTCTTTTCAGGTACCGGAGGAAACATACGCAACCAAATAGGCTGCAGAGGAGCTCGAACAAGTTGCCTTATTCACAGAGTTCTTATAAACGAAATTCCACTTAGGAAAGGGGTTGAGCCTCGAACTAAGACTAAAAATTATTTATTTTCTTAAAGCTAACATCGATTATTTTGTATGGTGATTTTCATATATGATAGGTATTTCATTGAAAATGGCTGTCAGCAAAATAAGTTTGGATCCTAGCTTTCCTCCGGTAAGGAAGAAGAAACAATCGATAACAGAGGTCAGAAACAGGTTTGTCAAAGAAGAGGTAACCCTGTTATTGAATATAGGTTCAATCCGAGACGTAAATTATCCCGATTATTTAGCTAACGTAGTGGTTGTACCTAAAAAGAATAATAAATTTAGAATGTGTGTAGATTACAAGGATTTGAATAAGGCATGCCCTAAAGATTCTTTTCCGTTACCAAACATTAATTAAATGATCGATGCTACAGCCGGATATGAGTTAATGAGCTTTCTTGACGGATATTCCGGTATAATCAAATTAGGGTGCACCCCAAAGATCAAGAAAAAACCTCATTTATCACAAAATTTGGCACATACTGTTATAATGTGATGCCTTTCGGGCTTAAGGATGCCGGAGCCACTTACCAGAGGCTCGTCAATAAAATGTTTGAATAGCAAATTGGTAAAACAATAATAGTTTATATTGACAATATGTTGGTTAAGTATCTTAATGCAGGAGATCATTTGGCTCATCTATAAGAGACATTTGATATTCCGAGAAAGTACAACATGAAACTCAATCCTAAAAAATGCGCTTTCAGAGTTGATTCTGGAAAGTTTCTGGGGATTTTGGTCTCTCAAAGAGGAGTTGAAGTAAACCCCGATAAGATCAAAGTCATCGAGGATATCCCGGATCAATTGGCAAGTGTAAAGGAGGTGGAAAGGTTGACCGAAAGGTTGGCGATCCTAAGCAGGTTTATATCAAGATCCTCGGAGAAACGTCATCATTTCTTTTCGCTCTTGAAAAAGAAGAATAATTTCGTGTGGACTCCGAAATGTCAACAAGCGCTGAAAGACTTGAAAAGGTACCTGTCTATTCCTCCACTGCTGTCAAAACCGATGGAAGGTGAGCAATTGCTATTTATTTAGAGTTTTACGAAGTAGCCATAAGTGTTGTTCTGACGAGAGAGGAGGAAGGTACTCAATTTACTGTTTATTATGTTAGTAAAGCTTTATCTGGAGTGGGGACACAATATCCGCACTTTGAAAAGTTGGCCCTAGCTCTCGTAGTCGCATCTCAAAGCTTAGTCCTTATTTTCAACATCA